AATTTAGAGATCACCTCCCAGAAGCTGAGAGCAAAGGCCAGATCATTCTATGGGCAAGATTAAACTACTTTCTAAATACCTGGCTAAGCATCATTGAGTTTCAAATTCCATAATTTACTGTAAGGAAACTGAAGAACAGAAAGTGACAAAACAATAAACCACAGCCATGGAAGAGTCTGGAAAAGAACCAGGACCCTTGAACCATTTTCCTTTGCTTTTTCTTCATCACATCTTTACCTTTCCAGAGAAATAAAATGGCATACTAGAAAGAAGGAATCTATCAAGGAATATCAGGCCAAGTTGGCAAAAAAAAAAAAGTACAATAAATGCACATTTTGAAAAAGAAGTCAGGAAAATTAGATAGCATTGCTGTACAGTCCATTTCATGGCTTCAAAACAGTGATAAAATATATTAACCGAACTTTCTGATGTCAGATGGGAGGAAAAAGAGCTAGAATGACTACCACGATGTTTAATTATGAGGATGTAAAAATGAAGGACTAGAAAATACCTTTTATGGATTAAAAGGGATAGGATTGGTTTAGAGGTAGAGGTGCTCATCTGAGATTCACCAGGCACAAAAAAATTGTGCCTGTTAATAATAGGCTACATAAAAAAAAAAAAAAAAAAAAAAAACCAATTGAGGTTGAGTCAATTCCGACTCTTGTAGATGCTATAGGACAGAATAGAACTGCCCCTTAGGGTTTCCAAGGATCAGCTGGTGGATTCAAACTGCCAACCTTTTGGTTAGCAGCCGAGTCCTTAGCCACTGTGCCACCAGGGCTTCTAGTAATAGGATAGAAAAGATAATTAATAGTATTTCTGAGGGAGCTCCTGGTCCTGACACTGTTATTTCATTTGATAGACTGACTAGAACAAATTATAGGTATACGAGTAGTGCAAAATTCAAACATAAACAAACAAAAAAAAATGCAAATAACTATGCAAACAAGCAAAAAAACTGCCCAAAGTTATCTTCAGTCAAGAACTAGAAAGAGAATTCCTTTAACATGGTCTAGGTCCAAAGGATAATGGTTCGACCTGCCAAGTGACACAATTAAAAGAATTTCACAAAAAGGTAATTTTGGTTACTTATACTGAATGAGTGAACAAAAAGGAGAAATTTATGTACAGATTATGATATGCTTAAATGGTAAGATGGTGTAGACTTGAGGGGATGTGAAGACCAGAAATACTGACCAAATAAACTTAAAATTGTGAGAAGGTTTGTCCACTTGGAGGTGTCTGTTTCTAGATATATTAGAGAAATTCAAAATGCTTACAGCTTCTTTACCTATGAAAGGAAGTCCTAGTCGTATCTCACTTTTAGTGTCCATATTTCATGAAACCTTCAGGCCTCTTCATGAAGCTGGAGGCATTGTAATAATAAAGGTATACATAAAACAAACAAACCAAACCTGGTGCCGTCCGGTCGATTCCGACTCATAGCCATTCCGTAAGACAGAGTAGAGCTGCTCCACAGAGTTTCCAAGGAGCACCTGGTGGATTTGAACTGTTGACCTTCTGGTTAGCAGCCTTAGCTCTTAACCACTATGCAACCAGGGTTTCCAGGGTACACATGGAAAGTTAAAAAAAAAATGCCTAGATAAACTGTTTCCTTATCAAGCTAAACACTTGCTGCCCACTTCACAGATCTGCCTAACTCTTGCCTGACTGTGTCAGGTATATTCAAAAAGTTTCTCCCAAAGCTATTCTGTCTGCATGAACTATGAAATGCCTTTTAGTGATCTTCCTGATTGTTTCTTCAATACACTTCTAAGATCAATGTATTTAACATTTCCTGGTGCCTGGCTAGTCTGTATCCTTAGTGTTAAATGTATCAGTGATATTCTTCCCTTTTCTATGTGTAAATTATTATCAGGTTGATGGTGGACTGGAAGCAGCTTGGTTGAATATGCTCATACTACTATTAAGCCTAGCAATCCAGATGCCAAGCCTTCAAGTTCCACACTTCTCATTCCCTGGTGTCTATTCAACTCCTTCCATGTACCAGAAGATTTCCTCCATGCTCCAATCTCACTGTTCTACCGATAAATTCTACACCAGTGCTGTCCAATAGAAATATGATGGGAGCCACACATGCAAGCCACATACATAGCTTTAAATTTTCTAGTGGTTACTTAGAAAAGATAGAAAAAAACAAATGAAATTAATTTTAGCCCAGTGTATCTGAAGTATTATTATTTTAACATGCAATCAATACAAAAATATTATCCATGAGGCATTTTGCATTCTTTTTTGGGGGGGGGTGGGTATTAGAAATTCAAAATCCAGTCTATATTTTACACGTATATCATGTTTCAGTTGGGCTAGCCACATTTGAAGTGCTCTATACCCACATGTGTTACATGGCTATTTTATTGGACAGTACAACTCTAGACTTCCTCCCTTGCTGATTTCTATTGAACTTACTCAGTTGCTTTTCCCATTCATTCACCCAGCATATTTATTGAATACTAATTGCGTGACAGAGTGACAGCTTCTTTTAATTCTTTCACAGTGGCATTGTTATAGTGGTTTAACAGAAAGAAGATATCAATGGCTTTGAATTCATAGAGACTTTTTGTCACCCAAAAATTGTGCTAAATTGGATAAGTTAATTAGTCACCAATATGTCATCTCTAAAAATGTGAAAAACTGTATTCTGTGCACAGTACTACAAGGAGTTCTAAATGAGGTAATGCACTAAAAAACCCTCTGCAAGTTGTCTGACATATAGCAGTCACTCAAAAGTATAAGTTTCCTTCTCGCTATACACCTACTCCTCAGTTATCAACTATTTCATTATCTGGCATTTCGAATTTATGACAATAGTAAAAAATCTATTATTCAACTATTTTGTGAATTAATGATGTACATCTGGCAGTAAGGAATAGCTAGGTGAGAGGCGAGGGTAACACTGGCTGTGACAGTTAAGGTTATGTGTCAACTTGGCTGGGCCATGATTCTCAGTTATGTGATGCTTTGGCAGTTATGTAATGATGTAATCTGGCAGTTATGTAATGATGTAGTCATCCTCCATTGTGTGATCTGATGTGGTCATCCTCCATTTTTCCATAACAACCTAGTCTTTAGAATCTAACCATGTTGATAAGTGAAGAGTGGCTGTACTTTACTTTCAAGGGGGCATCAGTGGTTCTGTGGTAGAATTCTCGCCTTCCATGAGGGAGACCCAGGTTCGATTTCCAGCCAGTGTGCAGCCACCACCCATCTGTCAGTGGAGACTTGCGTGTGGCTATGATGTTGAACAGATTTTGGTGGAGTGTCCAGACTAAGACAGACTATGAAGAAAGGCCTGGTGATATACTTCTGAAAAATCAACAATTGAAAACGCTATGGCGCATAGTTCTACTCTGACACACATGGGGTTGCCATGAGCGTAAATTGACAGGACAACTTTTTTTTTTTTTAATTGTCTATGAAAGGAGCCTACAGTGGGATGGGATGTCAAAAAGTACAGGGCTTTCATTGCTTTCATGCTAGTTACCCCTTTTACCTGTTTCTGTAATCTCTGGTACAGCAAAGCTGGCCTTTTCAATAAACAGTTTGCTGAAAAGTAAAAGTATGTTCTTAAAAACAACAGACTTGGATAAGCACCAAAACTTTAAGAGTACACTTTGGACTAAAGTCCACATCTAATCTGAAATTATCCATGTCCACTTTGAAAAATTATCAAGGCTTTGAACCTCCTCTAAGTTATGTTCCAGAGTAAGGATGGTTCAGAGGTTCCAGGTCCATTTTTCCAACTCTGCTTCAGACAAAGCCTGCTCCTAAAAATTCATTAGTTTTCTACATAACAGCCACTGAATAATCTTGCAACGTTCCAGGTTGCTTGGCTCAACAAATAAGCACCATGAGGTTTACTATATTTTTGTCTTTAAAAGAGGAACCTGCCTTGCCCACTGAGAGCAGAGAAACCTAATGCCTTTGAATTGGGCATTTTATTTATTACTTTTCTTTAATGGACTATGGTAACCATAACACATAATCATCCTGTTATGTTGGGATCTTAAAAAAAAGGACACCCAAAACAAAGCAAGGCAAAATTTAACTTGGATCTTTTGCTAAACATTCCTTTATGTAACCACAACTAAAATATCTCTTTCCTTCCAGAAATCACACAAACAATTTATTCTCTTATTAAAATGACGCTCTACTTATTGCCAGTGTCATCATCTGGCATCTTGCAAATGCAACATTGTATACATTATTACTTGATTATGTATTTGCACATAAGTGCATGTATTCCTTGTGAAAATCTCTTATATATAGCTCATTGTGTCTCTAACTCCTACAAAATGCCTTGTATATGAGAAACAGCCAAGAAATACTCATTTAAGCAAAAATGAAGAAGGTTTTAGTAATAACCATAGATCACAGAGGGGAAAGGTAGTCTAGTATCTAAAGTAATCAATTAGAAAACAGGAATTCTGCTGCTTTTTAAATTCAGTAGTTTACTTATTTTGCATGGAGTTCCTGGTGGTGGTTTGAATCCACCCACAAGTACCTGATAAGAAAGGCCTGGTAATCTACGGTCAAAAAATCGATCACTAAAAACCCTTTGGTACATAGTTCTACTCTGACATACATGGCATTGCCATAAGTTGGTATCGACTTGGCATCAACTGACTTAGTTTATTTACTTTGCATAGCTGTTTAAGAAGCAGAAAAAGAAAAACCAAAATTAAATCCTCATGATTATACTCCTTAGATTTACAGTAGGAAATTCCCAGTGATATGACATTTCTTAGACAACTAGTTAATAGAAAAAGTGATCTGCCTCTTTACATTCCCAGGATAAAAGAAAAGCAATGTCCTGCCCTTTTGCCCCAGGCACTGCTAAATAGCAGTGTTAACTTTTGGTAGACACACATGACTCAGTTCATAACACTGCAGGGAGAGAAATATAAAAAGATACACTCTCTACCTCCCTCTTTTTCAGACTCCGGTGCTGCTGATTTGACTGACTCTCTTCAATCATGAAGATTTCTGTCCTCTTTGTTTCATTTTTCTTTCTGGCTCCAGTGCCACCAGGTAAAATGAAAATGTTCATTGAGAGGATGAAAATCTTTCTGAAGAGACAAATCTCTGTCAGTGCCCACTGGCGGTAAAGGAATTACTGAATTGCGAAGAAAGTGATTTATGATGGTCCCAGAAGTGAATCACAAGGAAAGGACTTGTGATTTTTATTAAAAAGAATGGTTCCTGGTCGGTTATATCATTGTGGGAGACAATTTAGGGTTTTGATCAAATGATTTGTTTTCTTTATAGGTTGGCTGCCCAGAAAGACAAGTTAGATAGGATATCTAAGTAGAATTATTTGAATGCTTGGGAACTGATGAGGCACTCTGCATAGGACAGTAACAAGAAGTTTTTCACTGACATGCATTGAAATTATAAAGCACAACTTACTTTGAGAATTCTCCTTACAAATATTTGTTCTTTTCAACTCATTTGCATTCTATATGCATTTTGATGGCTCTATTACCTCAGGTCCAATTATATAACCATTAACATTAATCAGATAATGAAATGAACACCGCCTTTGGAGTTACCGATAACTTGCTACAGATTTGGTTTCTGCCACATATTGGTTATGCAAATCTATCAGATTATTTAAACTCTGTCAACATCAAGATCCTCTTTTGTAAATTAAGTCTATCTCATAATATTATCATGAGGACTAATGATATATGAATATGCAAAGTGCCTAAAACAGAGTATTATATGTGTTAGGTGCTTCATAAAAAGTATTATAATTACTTTTACATTGTGTTGAAACATCTTAGAGACTCAACCCTCTAAGCCTCATTTTGGAGGAAGAAAATTTTTTTGACATCTATCTCAGGAGACAGTGGAGGCAATATTTATTATGTTGGATTTCACAGGCTTGGACTTTGTACTCTCTTTTGGAAACATCATTATATTCATCACTCTTAGGATGGATTAATAACCAGAGGGATGGGTCTTGATTCAGGTCAGTGAAAGAGCTGTTTTGACACATTTCAGGCTACTCAAGATAGGAAAAGCATTTTTCTTATGCATGCAAGAACCGTGTAAGAAAATAATGCCATTCAAATTAAAACAAACAAATCAAAACCTGGAAATTCTAGGGACTTCTGATTTAAGAGTGGTCAATGAGCCCTGGTGGTGCAATGGTTAAGTGCTCGGCTGCTAACCAAAAGATTGGATATTGGAACCCACCCAGAGCTTCCCCAGAGAAAAACTTGATGATCAGCTTCCATAAAGATTACAGCCTAGAAAACTCAATGGAGCAGGAGATCACCTTTCAGCCAAATGGTAGACTGGCCTATAAAACAACCCGTAACACCCATGAGGAATGTGCTCCTTAGAACAATCAACTATGCAAGACCAAATGGGCAACATTCGCCCAAAAGCAAAGATGAGAAGGCAAGGAAGGTCAGGGAAACTAGAGGGATGGAAACAGGGAAGATAGGGTGGAAATGAGGAGAGTGCTGACACATTGCGGGGATAGCAACCAACATCATGAACAATTTGTATATAAATTAAAAAAAAAAAAAAAACTCTATGGAGTAGTTAGTTCTACTCTATCATATAAGGTCGCTATGAGTTGGAATTGACTTGACAGCTCCCAAAAACAGGACTTCAATAGTTTACTCTTGGACTCCACTCTGTTCATCAGCCGCACAGATCAAACTAAGTGCTCTGAAAGTAAATCTGATTCTGAATGAATTAAAAAACTCAAAGACATAAGTGCTTTGGAGAAAAGTTTCAAATGCCCTAAGTTATTGTATAATTCTAATAAAATTTATTGGCTGGCAATTATAAGGATTTTTATTGTATTACATCATTCTACAATCAGGGCAAATTAAACTAAAATTAGCTTTGTTTTTACTAAACCCAAATGAAGGTTTTCTTAAAATAGAGAAAATTGGCATTTGGACAACCAGAATTTGGACAACAAAATGCCACCTCTAGTTATGTTATCCTGATTTATATGTGAACCTCATGTCACTAGCTTTTGCAAAAAACAAAAGTTGGTGAAAGCCTTCATGGCATTTTCAGTACCTTCAGAAACCCAAGAGACATTATGTGTGCACAGTTTCATCTAAAAGTTGAAGAATGTGCAATTCCTTCTAGGGCATAAATATGAATTTTTATATGATACAATCGCTGTTATCTAGAGAGAAGCTATTTGTTGTTTCTGTTACTAGTAGAAAAATGCTAATGTAGAATTCCCACTTAAATAATGCTATTCTCTTCCCATACTGGTGCTTGACAGCTGTCATCTTCTGTTATTTGTAAATTCCAATTAAATCGACATAACATGCTTCACACTCCTCATGTAGGACAGTGTAATTTGAAGATGCATTTTTTAAGCTGGTGAGATGTCTTTCCCTCTGGCATCAAAAGCAATAAATAACATGTCTCTAGATAATACAAATAAGGAAACACCATTAATTTATACAGTGGAGCAGTGTTATCACTGTTGGCCTAAAATAAAAAAAAAAAAAAAAAAAAAAAAAACAGAGTAGCTGCTAAGGCTACTTATATACAACCAAAAACTTCATGGCAAAGAATGCCTAGTGGATTCAAACTGCTGACCTTTTGGTTAGCAACTGTACCTCTTAACCACTACGCCACTAAGATTTCCAAATTTATGGCACAAAATTCAATATAATTTGGGTTTAACTCTTTTCTTAAAAAGCCTAGATACCTAAAGTAATGGAGAGATCTTATGCTAACATAACTTCACTGAAGGCAGAGGACATCAACATACTGGGTTATCAATACCACCAGCTCTGCCTTCCATGGGTCCTATGTGGGAGATTTAAGGAAGAGAGGGAAGAACACTGTTCACATATCTTCTCTGCTGATGTCTGGTAATTTGACATATGTTTAGTACTTTTACTTTGGAAGTCTCCCTTCCTTGGTGGCCTTCTTTTAAAATGCAAATATTTCTCGTAGAGGTGAAGCCTTACTTCTTTTACCCACGATGTGGATGAGTTCATTGGTTGGTATATACTATGATGTACGGGCATGACTGCTTTACAGAGGTGGGGGCCCTGAAAGAAGGAAACACAAGGAGATACTGACTGGCTTCTCCTCTTTTCACTGTGTGCTAAAGTTTGGTCTTGGACTACATCACTAGTATTTCCAGGAACTAGTATACAAAAAAAAAACAACCCCTCACTGCCATCGAATCAATTCTGACTCATAGTGACCCCATAAAATTTCCAAGGCAGTAAATCTTCAGGGAAGCAGACTACCACATCTTTCTCCTGCAGAGTGACCGGTGGGTTCGAACTGTCAACCTTTGGATTAACACCTGAGTGCTTTAACCACTGCACCACCAGGACTCATTAAGAACTAATATAGCATCTGCATACTCAGTTTCTCCTCCCTCCCTCTTCCTCTGCCCAGGCTCAGATCTCTGTGCGTGTGCAGAAAACCCCTCTTATCCCAGTGTTTTTTTTTGCGTTTCTTCTCACTGTCTCCATAAAAGAGAAGGCTGAAGACATTCAAGCAAGATAGCAATTTAAACAACATGAATTGTCTTTCCCATTTTGAATCCTGAAGCTGAAAATGTTTGAAAATTTAACTTCTTCTGAAATTAGAAGCAAAACAAACCAGGTGGGTAGGCAGTCATCAGAATACCTGGTGTCAGTTCAGAGCTGCTCTGGATCTAGCAGTATCTACCTAGGAATTCTCATGGAAAACTAAGCTTTAACCACTAGTGAGCCCAGACAAAAATTGTAGAGAAAATGGATGATGAAGCAGAAAATATCGTAAAACAATCATCGCCAGAAAAATGGCAAAACAAATGACTTCCCAAACCCCTCTGGGGGTGGGGTGGGAAGCTGAAGGAGGGGAGGGGAGGGAGGAGAAACTGAGAGTATGCAGATGGTATACTTATTTTTGTGGCGCAGTGGTTAGGTGCTACGGCTGACAACCAAAAGATTGGCAGTTAGAACCCACCAGGCGCTCCTTGGAAACTCTACGCTGTCCTACAGGGTCTCTATGAGTCGGAATCGACTCCAAGGCAACGGGTTTGGTTTAGATTTTGGATAGTTATTTTCACATCACCAACTGATTCATCAAAAGTTCAGGGCCCTAAAATACGTATAATAACTCAATTGTTCATTTTTTTTTTTTTTTAACAGTGAAATGTGCCATGAGAGACACCTATAACTGCTTTCTCAAGAAAGGCAACTGCAGATTTGAGTGCCATGAATTTGAAAAACCAGTTGGTTTCTGCACAAAACTGAAGGCCAACTGTTGTATGTTGAAGTCTGAAATATAAATCAGCATCTTGGACAAATAAAGCACAGTGAGTATAAGCATTAGTAATAAATGAAATGAACTGCCAACTACTCTTACACAGCCTGTGTTGCTGTCTTGGTTATATGGCATCATTTGAGGGACTAGGTTCTCTCCTAAGTATCTGACAATAGAGAGAGATATCTAGAGTATAAGGTCCCTTGGTGGCACAAATGGATTGTGCTGGACTGCTAACCTAAAGGCTGGCAGTTCCAGCCCACCTAGTGATACTTTAGAAGAAAAATCCTGACCATCTGCTTCTGTTAAGATTATAGTCAAGAAAATCCTATAGAGCAGTTCTACTCTGTAACACATGGCGTTGTCATCGAGTCAAAATCAACTTGATGGCAACTATTAACAAAAACAACAACAACATCTAGGATATAGAGAGGTTCTGCGAAAACATTTCATCATTTTGGACATCGAATTCCTATTTTTGCATTGGCAGATGAATGCTAAATGACACAAGGAATTTATTATTATCAGGAGGCCTTAATTCAAAGGTATTCAAACTAATTCAAAATGTTTCCAAATGAAGGGGGAGTTGAGAGAGACCAAAGAAATGGAACAAATAGGCTTTTATCAGCTCAAGGATCAAGGGACTTGATTTACTGCAAGCAAGAAGCCTTACAATCAGGTCAACTTTTCAGTTTGACTGCTTTGTTCTCTTGAAGAAGGAATTGAAAAAAAGGCCATATCTGAAACTAAGGAATAGGCATTTGACAATGGAAACAGGCAAATGGGGAGGTCTGATGAGTGCTAGAGGTGTTTTATAGCTAAGAGCTAAAAAATAAGGGACAAAGAATTCAGTATGATGACTACAAAAGACTATTTTTTACTCACTAAAAACATTAAGGATTTCAACTTTATTAATAGTCATCGTCATCTCTGTATTTTATACTAATATGTGGCTTTTGAAACACTTTGAGATACAGAAATATTTTTGATGCTCACAAAATTTCTGTGAAGTAATGCAATGTCCCCAAAACATAACTAACCAGAGATACATAGTTAAGGGCACAGACCCTGGAACCAAATTACCAGGGTCCTAATATTGCAGAGCAAACACTATGCAAATGTTTTTTAAATTGACCTGACTTGTTAAATAATGCTTAGAGAGTTTGTGATGTCATACACTAATTAAGGAGCTACACAGAACTACAGAACTAGAAATTAAACTCTGTCATACAATGAACAAAATAAACACAGGTCTGAACACTTCCTTTACTTTGAAATTATTAGGAACAGATGGAGCAAGAGGACAAGTTAAAGAGTTACTTAAAAAAAAAAAAAAAAGGCCATACTTGAAATTAAGGTAAAGATATAGGCAATGGGAACAGACAACCGGAAAGGTCTCATGGTCTATATGCTCCGTATTTGGAAGCTAATACTAGTTAATAAGCCTGATGAAACAAACCTCTAATTATATTAATCTGGCCATGAGAAAATAAATGCTTATATTTTTATTTCTTTGGGTATATTTTACTTTTCTCTTTTTTTCTTGCACACAAAACTTTCCAGATTGACTCTACCAATGGTGAAATTCATAAGGGATAGAAAAGGAAACTCCACTCCCCACTGGATCCCGGCAAACAAATTGAGTATCACTGACACAGATAGTTTTATAAAATGTTCACAAACTTAAAAGCTCTTAATTCTACAGTACGGAGAGCTATAAGACCTCCCCATCAGGAAAAAAAAAAAATTGCTTGTCTAATCTGCACTATAAAATAAAATTATATCCACTAATGTCCGTCCAGGGGTGGATTATCCAATAGGCAAAGTAAGCACGATGCCTACCCCGCTTACCAAATCATCTGTAGTGAACAATTTCACATTTTTTCACACATCAAAGATTCAGCTTCTAGATACAGCTGGCTTCTGTCTCTCTCCCATCTCTACAGCACCTTCCTACAAAATCAAAGCCTCTTTTCAAATTTGCAATCCCTGACAGAAAGGTGTCTTAGTTATCTGGTGCTCCTCCAACAGAAATACCACAAGTGGATGGCTTTAACAAGGAGAAGTTTATTCCCTCACTGTCCTGTGGGCTACAAGTCCAAATTCAGGTCATCAGCTCCAGGAGCAGGCTTTCTCTCTCTGTCGGCTCTGGAGGAAGGTCTTTGTGATGCATCAGTCTTCCCTTGGTCTGGGAGCATCTCAGCGCAGGAACCTCAGGTCCAAAGGATGTGCTCTACTCCTGGCGCTGCTTTCTTGGTGGTATGAGGTTCTCGTGTGTCTCTGTTTGCTTCTCTCTTTTATATCTCAAAAGAGATTGGATTAAGACACTATCTAATCCTGTAAACCTCATCAGTATAACCTCATCACAGTGATAGAATTTACAACACATAAGGAGATCTCATATAACCTCATCATAATGATAGAGTTTACAACACATAAGCAAATCACATCAGATTACGCAATCATACAATACTAGGAATCATGACCCAGCCACACTGACAGATATTTTTGGGGGACACAATTCAATTCATGACAGATGGATTACCCAGTGAGCAAGGTAAGCAGGGGTTTGCTTGTCCTTACTTCCTAATCTGTAGTGAACAATTTCACATGGGTTTCACTATTCTCTACCTCAGTTTCTGGGGGGTAATCTCTAAGTTCTTTGAATGTCATACCTGGTAGGAGCATCTTTGTTTTCTTGGTGCTGTACATCCAAAGGGCAATCATGTCTGGAAATGAACATGCCAATTATAAAAGTAGAAAGAAACATTTTAGCCAGCTAATAAGACATAGCTCCCTTTGGCATTCCTCTGATCCTGGCTATGTACATTCTCAGTATCTTAATGAATGAAATTACACCATCAGTGAACCTCTGCTGTCCCTGTGCATACCTGTTAAGCATTAATGGAGAAACCAGCATTTTTATTTAGTTTCAAAAAGTGGTAGAAAGTAGCGATTAAGAGTGTAGAGGTTTATTTTAGACCAAAAGGTAGGAAATGGAGGTCAGTCAGGAAGGTGGGACAAGAGTATATCATAGTGAAGAATCCTTCAAGTTTTGGGGTCAGATTGCCTGCATTTGGATCCCAGCTCCACTGTGTTCTTAGTTATGTGATCTGAACAAAAATCTTCACTAGCTTTCCGAGACTCAGTTTCCTCATCTGTAAAATGAGAATGATAATAAAAACACTTACCTATCATAAATTTGACATGAGGGTTAAATGAGATAATCCATGTAAAATCCATATGCAGTGTCTGATGTGTAATAAACATGTGATCAATAATGCTAAAAATAATAATCATTATTATTACTGTAATTACATCAGTAGTAATATAATTGCTTAATGATCTAGACCTGCTCCTGCATGAATAGTGTATTTAAGCAGATGTCATATTGTAATCACAAAAACCTATTCATATGTAGAAAGATGAAAAGGAGTAAAATATCTTCAAATGTGGGTGGGATTAGGAAGTCTCAAGAAAGAATTCGTAACGTAAGGAGACAGCCCTAGGATAGCTCAACCTTTCATTCTTTGCTTTGTTTCTTGTATGTGCCCTGGTCAAGAGGAAATCCAGGACTGGTTCAAGTATTTCAGATGGCCCAGAAAAATTAAACAATTTAGCATGGTAATAAAAAGTGTATGGGTCCTATAGCAAGACCAGAAGTTAGAGGTAAAGCTCAAAGACACACAACTTAAAGCCTTACAATAGGCACAAGGCACACCACAAATCATGACCTATCTGCCTCTTCTTGGAGAAGGAAGAGTGAACATCAAACCAAAAAGAAATACTGCAATAACTGTGTTTATATACACAAATCGCTATATACAAAATGTTTTTACAAAGCTAAAGTTTTGGGCAAATGTAGTAGTAATGATGAAAATCATTAAAAGGTTGCAAAAAAAATCCTTCTTATTTCCTGTTCATTTTACTTCCAAACAGAATTAACTCTGTAGACCTGATACATCATGATAGAAGTGTAAGCACATCCAGGATTCCCAGGAACATGTGCTCGGTCCACTTTTTCTAAATAATCTCCTGAGCAGCCACATCTATAAACACTATTTCAACCACATGACATGAATCTCAAATCTATTTCTTTAACTTTCACTTCTTCTTCAGCTCAAGATACCAGCATGCCTACTGGATATCTCTTATGAAAATTCTGTAGATTCTTCAAACTCAACACTATCAGTACAATACTCTTTCCTTGCCTACCCTAGACTGACTCCTATTTTGCCTATGATCACTGTTAGCATAAACTCCCACCTAAAGAATAAGCATACCTCCTAATCCTCTCCCTTTATAAGTCCATTCATTTCATTTTATAAATTGTTCTTGAAAAACCCCTTTCCATTTTTGCTGACACAGCTTTGGTCAAACCCTGCCTGACCTACTTCCACAACAAATGTCTAAAATTATTTCTACCTTGCAGGCTAGTCCTCAACCAAGTTATAGAGAGGGTCCATATAGGGGACACTGAGCTTCTCTTAAGAGTTGATGGGAGTTCCAGCAAAATGGCGCTCTAGGCAGAAGCACCACGCTGTCCCTCCACAGCAAAGATCCGAAAAACTAAGCCAAACAGAGAATACAACAATCCTGAAACCCTAAAACATCAAATGAAGAGATAAAGAACTCAGCCAAGCACCAAATGGAGTGAGAAAACTGGCAGAGAACGGAGAGCTAAGAGAGATTCATGCAGAGGTTCCCTACCAGCTAACGCAGCGCAGATCCACAATCTTGGACTCCTATTGGAGACCAGCAAACGAGGGTACTAGAAAGCAGCCTCACGGAGCTTCCAGCGGGAGACAAAACAACCGGTAATTTGAGGTGTGCGCTTTCCCACCCACCACCCCTCTTTGCTCCGGCTCCGCCTCCTCTGCTTCCCACGCCACAGTCTCTTGACCAGGAAGCGCCGGCTGCTTGAATTCCATACACCCAAGTGGGCGGCTCTCTGGGTGCCATTTGTTGGCTGCTAGTGTTGCTATTTTTTCTGCTTCTTTTGATTTCTCACTTGCGTCTTGCCAC